CCTCTCAGTCTGGGAGCCCTCAGGGGCGGGAGGCGACCTGGCGATCAGGGGAGGGCGACGCCCCATCACACCTCTGCTGCTGCCACTGCCAGCAGCGCCAGCCTCGGCCGGCCCTGGTTACCTGAGCCTCGGGCGGCCCTGGGCGGCTGGGGGGCTGGGGGGACTGGGTTCTGCCATCTTGTGGCTGTGGGCACTGCCATTTTTGTGATGGCCTGAGGGTTAATTAGCATATCCTCTCTTTTCTTTTTAGGTAGGATTGATTTCAGAGAGCGAGGGAGAGGGAGGGAGGGGGGGAGAGAAAGGAATATCCACGATAAGAGAGAATCATGGAGCCGAAATCAGCGTGGCTCAGTAGATGGAGCGTTGGCCTGCGGACTGAGGGGTCCAGGTTCGATTCCGGTCAAGAGCATGCGCCTTGGTTGTGGGCACATCCCCAGGGTGTGTGTGTGTGCAGGAGGCAGCTGATGGATGATTCTCTCTCATCGACGTTTCTAACTCTCTATCCCTCTCCCTTCCTCTCTGTAAAATATCAATAAAATATATTTTTAAAAAAAAGAAAGAGAGAGAGAGAGAGAGAGAATCATGGCTATTGATCCCCTAATGGGGATGGAGCCCCACACCCGGGCACGTGTCCTTGACCGGGAATCGAACCGGGACCTCCTGGTTCCCAGGTGGATGCTCACCCAGCCTCAGTGGAGGACCACATCCCATTGTTTGAAAGCACGCTGACTGCCCCGCCCCCCTCTGGGAAATCTTCCCCGGTCCCTCCCCTCCGGGCCCGGGTCCGGCTGTGCCACGGGGCAGGCCACGCCCCTCCCCACGCCGTTAGCCCGGCCTGCAGTGCCCGCGGTGACCGAGCCGCTGACCGAGCGAGGGCAGGCCGTCTTCCATGAGCACGTGCGTCCTTTCCCAGCTCCTGAGTCAGCGAACGTGAGCCGCTGTGTGCACACACAGCTGGAGGCCCCTGGAGACGAGGGCGAGGGGGTCTCGCTAAGAGTGGTTGGTATTGTGTTTTTTTAAATATATTTTTTGTTGATTTTTTTACAGAGAGGAAGGGAGAGGGACAGAGAGCCAGAAACATCGATGAGAGAGAAACATCGATCAGCTGCCTCCTGCACACACACAACCCCCCACCCCCACCGGGCACATGCCCTTGACCGGAATCGAACCCGGGACCTTTCAGTACACAGGCCAACGCTCTATCCACTGAGCGACACCGGTTTCAGTTTATAATTTTTAAAAAAATATATTTTATTGATTTTACACAGAGAGGAATTGAGAGGGATAGAGAGTTAGAAACGTCGATGAGAGAGAAGCATCGACCAGCTGCCTCTTGCACACCCCCTACTGGGGATGCGCCCGCAGCCAAGGTACATGCCCCTGACCGGAATCGAACCCGGGACCTTTCAGTCCGCAGGCCGACGCTCTATCCACTGAGCCACACCGGTTTTGGCCTTTTTTTTTTTTTTTTTTTTAAGTCTATTTTTACTAGAGGCCAGGTGCATGAATTTGTGCACGGCAGGGGTCTGGCTGGCCTGCCCGATGGGGGACAATTGAGCCAGGCTGTCCAGGAAGGAAGGGGTTGTGGGCTTTTGGGGAGCTGGCCCCACCCCCTCGTGGAACCCCTGGTTGACCTCCCAGTCGAACTCCTGGCCCAGGGGACAATTTGCATATTAGCCTTTTGTTATATAGGATGATTGTTTTCAGAGGGGAAGGGAGAGGGAGAGAGAGACACATCCATGAGGAGAGAGAATCATGGACCGGCTGCCTCCTGCACGCCCCACACTGAGGATGGAGCCCGCCACCCGGGCCTGTGCCCTGAACCGGGAATCGAACCCTGGCCTCCTGGTTCCTAGGTGGACGCTCAACCGCTGAGCCACGCCAGCCGAGCTTTGCTTTTTCCTACTTTATGATAACTGAAGATCTCAATGACCAGACTGCACTCCGTAAGCTTCTCTCGTGTTAATAATAAAAAACAGCCGAGCCAAAACTGGCTTGGCTCAGTGGATAGAGCATCAGCCTGCGGACTGAAGGGTCCCAGGTTCGATTCCGGTCAAGGGCATGTACCTTGGCTGCGGGCACACCCCCAGTAGGGGATGTGCAGGAGGCAGCTGATTGATGACTCTCTCCCATCGATGTTTCTAAATCTCTATCCCTCTCCCTTCCTCTCTGTAAAAAATCAATTATATATATATATATAAAGAGTTTCTTTAAAAAAAAAAAACAAAAAACAGCTGAGACCAGTGTCGCTCAGTGGATAGAGAGTCAGACTGTCTGTGGACTGAAAGGTCCCGGGTTCGATTCCGGTCAAGGGCATGTACCTTGGCTGTGGGCACATCCCCAGTGGGGGGTGTGCAAGAGGCAGCTGGTCGATGCTTCTCTCTCATCGACGTTTCTAGCTCTCTATCTCTCTCCCTTCCTCTCTGTAAGAAATCAATAAAATTAAAACAAAAACAAAAAGACAATAATACTACGGCCGTATCGGGGACGTCCTTTGGGAGTGGGTCCTGTGTCAGGAAAAGCAGTTAAACTCTGGGGTCTTAAAGGAGCCTGGCAAAGCCTCACCAGAACCTCTGGGGTTGGGACTATTATCTGTTTAAAAGAAAAACAAACAGCACGGGGCCCTGGCTGGTGTGGCTCAGTGGATAGAGCATCGGCCTGCGGACTGGAAGGTCCCGGGTTCCATTCCTGTCAAGGGCATGTGCCCGGGTTTGGGGCTCCTTGCCCAGCAGGGGGCCTGCAGGAGACAGCCGACCCGTGATTCTCTCTCATCATGGACGTTTCTATCTCTCCCTCCCTCTCCCTTCCTCTCTGAAACAATAAAAATATATATATATATTTAAAAAAAAAGACTAAAATCTCGCCGAAACTGGTGTGGCTCAGTGGATAGAGCGTCGGCCTGCGGACTGAAGGGTCCCGGGTTCGGTTCCGGTCAAGGGCATGTGCCTTGGTTTTGCGGGCACATCTCCAGTGGGAGGTGTGCAGGAGGCAGCGGATGGATGTTTCTAACTCTCTATCCCTCTCTCTTCCTCTCTGAAAAAAAAAAAAAATCAATAAAATATATATTTTTAAAAAACACTAAAATCTGGAGATCTGCGTGGTGGCTCCCCAGGAGGACCAGCCCCCCTCCCCACCCCACATCAAACATCCCTTTTGAAGACAATGCTAATTATAGAAAAACCTCTCTCTCTCTCTCCATCCATCCACCCACCCACCCACCCATATAAGGAGGAGAGAAGGTGACACCTCTATCTATCTATCTATCTATCTATCTATCTATCATCTATCATCTCTGTATGGGCCACATGGGGAGGAGAGAAGGTGACACCTCTATCTATCTATCTATCTATCTATCTATCTATCTATCTATCATCTATCATCTCTGTTTGGGCCACATGGGGAGGAGAGAAGGTGACACCAGCCTCCCCAGGAGACCGCGCTGTCAGTGGCTGGGCGCCGCGCCCCCGGGCCTCCGTCAGCACCTCTCCCCTGAGACAGCGCCAGGTGAGGGCGGGGCGGCGCCGCCTTTGTCTCCCGCGGAGGAGAGGCGGCGGCCGGGCCGTCCACGCAGGACGCAGCGCGCGTGTCACCTGCCGCCACGCGCCCTTCCCCGCCGGCCGGGCCCCACCTCCCCCGGGGGCGCGCGATCCCGGGTCCCGGGGCGCACGGGGCGGGGTGCACCGGGGGGAACCGCCTGCCTTCCAGCCCGGTGGCCACCCCTTGGTCCCCCGAGAGAGCCCGTCCCCCCGTGACGGCCACATGGCCTCATGGTCCGCGGGCGGCGCCTGGCACCCCGGGCACAGGGGGCCCCGCAGAACAAAGGAGCGGGGAGCGCGCGCGCGCGCGGGCCGGCGCGGATGGAGACGGAGCGGAGAGGGGACCCGGGGACCCGGCGCCTCCTTTCTCCCCGCGGTCCCCCGGGGCGGCCCCCGGGGCCTCCGGGAGGGGGCGCAGCTAGCGGTCCCCGCCCGCGTGCCCCGCCGCCGCCGCCCCCACCCGGAGGCGCACAAAGAGAGGGCGCCGCGCGCGCACGCGCCTCCCTGGGGGCGTGGCCGGGCGGCACGGGGGCGGGGCCGCGCGCTCCTCCGCGCCCGCCTTAAAGGGGCCGCGGCCCCGCGTGACCACTGCGCAGGCCCGATCCCCCCCCCCCGCCCCCCAACCTCCCCCGCCGGCGCTGTGGCCCGCGTTCCCGCGAGGACAGCTCCCCTGCGCGGCGCGGGGCGCGCGGGACCCGGGCACAGGGGTCCCGGAGGTGGCCGGCCGGGCCCCACGGTGCAGCCCGATCCCGCCTCTCGGATCCACAGTTTCGGGACGATTTGGGGGGAGCGGGGGGAGGGGGGGTCGGGCAAGCGCCGGCCGAGGGGACCGAACCGCGGGCGCGCGCGCGCCGGTGGTGCTGGTGATGCGGCCTGGCGGGCGCCTTTGTGTCGCGTGCGCCTTCGCGCAGGTGGACAGCGCCCCGGGACCTCGCGTCCTGCCTTTGCGCGCCCCCCCAACCCCGGATCGGATCCCCGATCTCACACCCCACAGGCCCCGCTGCTGGCGCTGGCGCTGGCACCCCCGGCCCCGGGGCCGCGCTATTGCCGGGCGCTAACGGGACTCGGGAGGGACGCGCGCTCCCAGCCAAAGGGCCGGTCCTCCGAGGAGGGGGCGCGCGGCCTCTCCTCGCTCGGGCCAGAGCCGAAGGGGGGGACCCGGGGACCTGGGGACAGACAGGGGCTGTCCCCGCGCTCGCAGGTCCCGGCGGCGGGCGCCCCGAGCCTGCGGGGTCCCGCATTAGACAACAAAGAGAGGCGTTCGCGGCGGCGGCGGGGGCGGGGCGGCCGGGCCCGGGAGGAGGGGAGGGAGGAGGGGGAGGAGGAGGCGGGGGGAGGCCGGGCTGCGGCGCGCTGGGGTTGGGGGCGCCCGCGGCTCCGCCCGCCCCCCGCCCCCCGCCCGGCGCGCGCGCCAATCGCCTCCCGCAGCGCCCGCGCCCGCGCCCCGCGGGGACGCGCGCCGCCTCCCCGGTCCCCTCCGGAGCGCGTCTGGCTGCGGCGGCGGCGGCTCCTCCGTCGAGAGGCGGGGAGCGGGGCCGGGAGCGAGTGGGGGAGCCCGGGAGGGGCCCCCCTTAAAGGCCGCCGCCTGCTCGCTCGCTCGCTCGCTCCTCTCTGGGCGCGCGCGGCCGCCGCTCGAGCTCCGGTTCCCCCGCCGCCGCCGCCGCCGCCGCCGCCTCGGGGTGGGGACCCGGGCGGGGGCCCCCGCAGCCGCCGCCACCGGACGCGCGGCGCACGGAGCGCCCCAGTCCTTCCGGCGCGGAGCCCGCTGCAGCCGCCGGCCGGCCTCCCCGGGGCCGCCTTTGTCGCCGCAGCGGCCGCCGCAGCAGCAGCTCCGGAGCCGCGGCCGGCGGGGGCGCGGCGCGCACGGCCCGGCCATGCCCAGCTCGCTGTTTGCAGACCTGGAGCGCCACGGCGGCGGCGGCGGCGGGGGCGGCGGCGGCGGAGGGGAGACCCTGGACGACCAGCGGGCCCTGCAGCTCGCGCTGGACCAGCTGTCCCTCCTGGGGCTGGACAGCGACGAGGGCGCCTCCCTGTACGACGGCGAGCCGCGCAGGAAGAGCGTGAACATGACCGAGTGCGTGCCGGTGCCCAGCTCGGAGCACGTCGCCGAGATCGTGGGCAGGCAAGGTGGGTCCGGCCGGGGATGGGGCGCTGGAGACGGGGGTGGTGGGGTGCGGGTCTCCGGCCACCGCCCCGCGGGGAGGGGACCCGGGGCTCGCGGAGGAGCAGCCGGGGAGCCCCGCGGAGGAGGGAGGGAGAGAGGGAGGAGGGAGGGAGCCAGCGCCGCGCCAAGGGCCGGCGCCCCAGACAAAGAAAGTGCGGGCGGGCGGCCCCGCAGCCCCGCGCCGCGGCCACGGCGGGATGCCCGGCTCCCGCCGACGCCACCGCCTCCCCCCCGGGGGCCCCCGCCCCGCCGGACCCCGGGAAACGCCATCTAAACCGGGGATGCTTGGAGAGGGGGGGGGAGGGGGCCTTTGCAAGTCCATCGGGAGGGAGGGAGGGAGGAGGAGGGAGAGCATGGGATGGAGGAGGATTCTGGATTTCTCTGCAGCGCGCATCATGGAGCCCAGATGGGGAACAATGGGTCCCGGGACTGGGGCGCCTCCCGCGCCCCCCGCTTTCGTAGCGGCTGTGGGGGCACGCGGGCTCCTGCTGTCTCCCCTCCTTTACAAACCCGGGGTCTCCAGGGCGCACGGCGGCGGCGCGCCCCTGCGGGGTCCCCGGGCGGGCGGAGGCACCTCCCGGGCGGGCGGACTCCGCTGGGGATTCGGGGTTCCGGCGTCGGGGAGGTCTCCGCTTCTCGCCCGGGGACTGGGAAGGGCTGAGCCTGTTCCTCGAGCGCTTCGCCGGGGGTTCGGGGTTGGGGAGGGAGGGGAGCTGGGGACCCGCTTCCCGGCGCGCGCGCGCGCGCGCGCGGGGTCCGGCCGGGAGCCGCCCCCCTTTGTACCGCCGCCGTTCCGCCGTCCAGGGCGCGCGGGGACCGTCCCGCGTCCCCCTGGCTCATCCCTCGGGGGTAACGGGCGTGTCTGTCTGTCTGTCTGTCTCTCCCGTCCCCTTCCCCCTGGCACCCCGGATCCCCCTCCCCAAACCCTTCCCCACCCCCTAACTCCCCGCCAGGCTGTAAAATCAAGGCGCTCCGGGCCAAGACCAACACGTACATCAAGACGCCGGTGCGCGGGGAGGAGCCGGTGTTCGTGGTGACGGGGCGGAAGGAGGACGTGGCCATGGCGCGCCGGGAGATCATCTCGGCGGCCGAGCACTTCTCCCTCATCCGCGCCTCCAGGAACAAGACCTCGGCGCTCAACGGAGGAGGAGGAGGGAGCGGCGGCGGCGGAGGCGGCGGCGGCGGAGGGGGCGCCGCGCCGGGGCCCCCCCACCTGCCCGGCCAGACCACCATCCAGGTGCGCGTGCCCTACCGCGTGGTGGGGCTGGTGGTGGGGCCCAAGGGCGCCACCATCAAGCGCATCCAGCAGCAGACGCACACCTACATCGTGACGCCGAGCCGCGACAAGGAGCCTGTGTTCGAGGTCACGGGGATGCCCGAGAACGTGGACCGCGCGCGCGAGGAGATCGAGGCGCACATCGCGCTGCGCACCGGCGGCGGCGGCGGCGGCGGCGTCGGGGGCGGCGGCGGCGGCGGCCTCGTGGAGCTCCCGGACGACAACGACTTCCACGCCAACGGCACCGACGTGGGCTTCGACCTCGGGTCCGGCGGCGGCGGCGGCGGCGGGGGGTCCGGGCCGGGCAGCCTGTGGAGCAAGCCCACGCCCACCCCGGGCCGCAAGCCCTTCGCCAGCTACCGCAACGACAGCTCCAGCTCGCTGGGCAGCGCGTCCACGGACTCCTACTTCGGCGGGGGGACCACCCCGCGCCTGGCCGACTACAGCCCCCCGAGCCCCGCGCTCAGCTTTGCGCAAAACGGCAGCAACGGCACCGGCAACGGGTACGCCTACGCCGGGGCCGGGGAGCCCCCCGCGCCCTCCCCCGACGGCGGCGGCGGCTGCTGCGCGGAGCTCCCGCCGCCTCCGCCCGCCTTCGACCCCGCGCCCGCGCCCCCGCCCGGGGCGCCCCTGCTCTGGGCGCAGTTCGAGCGCTCCCCCGGTGGCGGGGGGCCCCCGACGGTCTCCTCCGGCGCCTCCTCCTCCTCCTCCTCCTCCTCCGCGTCTTCCTCCGCCTCGTCTTCCTCCGTGGTGTTCCCCGGGGGCGCGCCCCCCGCCGGTGCCAGCAACCTGGGGCTGTTGGTGCAGCGCCGGCTGCCCCCGGGCGCAGGCTGCCCGCGCCTGTCGCCGCCCCTGCACGCGGCGGCGGCGGCGGCGCCGCCCCCCACGGGGCCCGGGGAGCACCCCCTGGCGCGCCGGGTGCGCAGCGACCCGGGCGGAGGGGGCCTGGCCTACGCGGCCTTCGCCAACGGGCTCGGGGCGCCGCCGCCGCCGCCGCCGCCGCCGCTGCCCCCCGACACGTCGGTCTCCTCGTCGTCCTCCAGCTCCTCCTCCAGCTCCTCGTCCTCGTCCTCCTCCTCGGCGTCCTCGTCCACGACGGGGCTGCGGCGCAAGGGCAGCCGCGACTGCTCCGTGTGCTTTGAGAGCGAGGTGATCGCCGCGCTCGTGCCCTGCGGCCACAACCTCTTCTGCATGGAGTGCGCCAACCGCATCTGCGAGAAGAGCCAGCCCGAGTGCCCCGTGTGCCACGCCGCGGTCACCCAGGCCATCCGCATCTTCTCCTGAGCGCAGCGCGCCCAGGGGAGGGGGACCCAGGCCTCCAAACGCATCCCCAGCGCGCGCAAACCCGGTGCGCCCTGGGGAGGGGGGACCCAGCTCTCCAAACTCATCCCCAGCGCGCCCCGGGGAGAGGGACCTGGGGAGAGGGACCTATGTCTCCATCCTCATCCCCGGTGCGCCCCGGGGAGTGGGGGGGCCCAGGACTCCAAACTCATCCCAAGCGCGCGCAGCTGGTGCGCCCTGGGGAGGGGGGGACCCAGGTCTCCAAACTCATCAGCGCGCGCCCCCCGGAACCCTCACCCTCCTGGTGCCCGACCTTCCTCCCCGCTCACCCCTCGGGAGACCAGAGGAGGCGCATGGGAAGCGGAATGATCCATTTTTCCATTTATTTTTCTCTCCCTCCCCCAACAACAACAAAGGAACTTGCCAAGGATTTCTGTCCGCAAGAATCCTGCGGGGCCCCCCCCCCCCCCGACACCTCCGAACCCCCTCCCGAAATGCATGCTCTATACATATAGGATCGGCGACCTAGGGATAGTTTTGACACTGTACTTAATAGCAAGCTTCCAGAAGGAAATACTCCCCCAAACCCTGACCCCCTCTCCATGCTCTTCATGTAGGAAAACCATGGACAGTGATTTAGGGTGAAGATGCTGATGATGACAATAGTAGTGTTACGTATGGGGTATGTGGCCTGTCTTTTCGTGAATCCTCCCTTTTCCCTCCCCCCTCCCCTCTGTGGCTGGGTTCCTATTGATGCTTGTTCTAGAACACCATGGTGGTGGTGGGGGGGGAGAGTTTCTTCCCCAGAATGTTCTAGAACACCGTGGATCTTTCCAGAATGTTCTAGAACACCGTGGGTCCTTCTGGAATGTTCTAGAAGCGCCAGGCATTCCGGAGACACCCCGGGGGGGGGGGGGGGGGGGATACTGCAGCTTTATGAAAAGTGAAGAGAAACTGTAACATATCTCTTATCTATTAAGAAAAAAAAAAGGAAGAAAAAAAATACGTTTAAAAGTTTTAAAAGAGAAATCTTGCATTCCTACAGATCGAAGTATTTTATTCTTTTTTGACTTGAAGAATTATATTTCATATTGCAAAGATGTTTACAAGTATTTTAATTTAAGTTCAGTGAACTTTTTTGTAGCTGGGTTTAAAAGAAAAAAAAAATCTTTTTTATTTTTTCGTACGGGCCTCATCGGCGAAAGAACAAACACTGTATTCTTTTAAATAATCCACTCTGTTGTGACGGGATTACAAAACCATAAAAACACACACAGGCACACACCACACACAACGTATAATGTTTTCGAACAGTATTCTGTTGGGATGAAGGATTTTTTTATAGGTTTCCGAAAAGTCTTGGGACTCCGCCTCACCCAGCGTTTTTTTTCTATTCCGTGATAGAAAACATATTTTATTCTATATTATTACAAAAAAACAAAACACAGGAACGTATCCACACATCAAAAGGGACTGTTCAACCTTTCTAATCACGTTTGTAATAAGTAGAATGCAGTTCCAGTTAACGGACATTCTCTCTGTTATACACCACTATAGTTTTTTTAGTATTTCTATTTTTTAATACATTTGTTTACCACTCGTTTATGTATGTGTAGGTGACGTTACTTGAGCTTAAATGTACTTTACCGAGCAAAGTTTAAAAAAAAAAGTATATTTTATTTTATGATAAAGGGCCTTGAACCACATGGTCAAAAAATACTAATATTATATTTGCTGAGACAAGATTTGAAATTGTATCTCAAGAGTTTTATTTTTCTGACATTTTAAAGTTCTACATAAATAAAGGTAAAACTTTAAGTCATGGTGCTACTTCGTTTTTTAAGTATTTCTATATGAATAAAAGATGGACGAAAACCTAGATGGTCTGGTGACTTTTGATTATTATTATTATTTTTTTTTTTTTGAGGGACCTTGTGTGAGGAGTCATGCTTACCTGACAGGTTGAAATCTCTAAATTCCAGGCATGTTATGTCAGTAATTTTATCAAGTGAATGGACTTTTTTTTTTTAAAGGCCAGAGTTGCATTTGGTTGGGTGTTTAAGTCATGGTAGCAGTATTTTTTAAAAAATATATATTTTATTGATTTTTTACAGAGAAGAAGGGAGAGAGAGAGCTAGAAACGTCGATGAGAGAGAAACAGGCCAAGCTTCCTCTTGCACACCCCCTACCGGGGATGCGCCCGCAACCAAGGTACATGCCCTTGACCGGAATCGAACCCAGGACCCTTCAGTCCGCAAACGGACGCTCTACCGCTGAGCCAAACCGGTTTCAGCGGCAGCAGTACTTTTTTTTTTAAAATATACTTTATTATTGTTTACAGAGAGGAATGGAAAGGAATAGAGAGCTAGAAACATCAATAATAAACATTGATCAGCTGCCTCCTGCATGCCCCCCACACCGGGGATCCAGCCCACAACCCTGGGCCTGTGTCCTGTTCGGGAATCGAACCCGGGACCTTTCAGTCCTAGGCCAATGCTCTACCCACTTGGCCACACCGGCCAGGGCTCCATTTTAATGTCATTGTGGCTCTGTGTGTGTGTGGCGATCTCTAGAACCGGGAGGTCAGGTTCGATTCCCGGTCAAGGGCACAGGCCCGGGATGCGGGCTCCATTCCCAGTGGGGGGGGGGGGTGTGTGTGCAGGAGGCGGCTGATCCATGATTCTCCTCATGAATATTTCCCTCTCCCTCTCCCTTCCTCTCTCAAACAAAAACATGTTTTTAAAAAAAGTGATGATAGCCGAAACCGGTGTGGCTCAGTGGGTGGAGCTGTCGGCCTGCGGACTGAAAGGTCCCGGGTTCGATTCCGCTCAAGGGCAGGTAGGTACCTTGGGTTGTGGGCACATCCCCGGTAGGGGGTGTGTGCAAGAGGCAGCTGGTCGATGTTTCTCTGTCATCGATGTTTCTATCGCTCTCCCTTCTTCTCTGTAAAAAATCAATAAAAAAAATATATTTTTTAAACTTTTCCCTAGATTCTTTTTTTTTTAATATATTTTATTGATTTTGTACAGAGAGGAAGGGAGAGAGATAGAGAGCTAGAAACATGGATGAGAGAGAATCATCGATCAGCTGCCTCTTGCACACCCCCTACTGGGGATATGCCCGCAACCAAGGTACATGCCCCTGACCGGAATTGAACCCGGGACCTTTCAGTCCCCAAGCCAACGCTCTATCCATTGAGCCAAACCGGTTTCGGCAAAAATATATATATATTAAAAAAAAAAAAAAAAAAAAAAAAAAAAGCGATTAAGAAGGAAAGGAGCCCAGAAAAGCAGAAAGGGCCTGGGACCCGGGAACCTCAGAGTCCTGCCCCAGCCCCAGCCTGCCTGGGCCCCTCAGGGAGAAGGGGCGTCCGTCCATCCGTCCGTCGGGGCTGTTAGCTGGACCTTGGGTGAGGGGTTATCTCTCTGGGGTTGTGGGTTTTTGGGGAAGGACTTAGTGGGGTTCGAGGCTCCCACAGTGGCTCCGGCTGATGGGTGTTACAGGGGCTGGTGTTCACTGTTTGTAGTTGCTGGGGAGGAGGCTGTGTTTGCCTTTGCAGGTCTCACTGCCCCCAGGCCTGGGGGGGTGAGGGGCAGGGGAGGAGGGGGCGGGGCGGGGCCAGCCTCTGTCTCCGGGCCGGCTTAGGAATGACCAGACCAAGAAATGGCCAGCGAGCTGCCCAGCCCAGCTGCCCCTGCACGGCCCTGGATGCCCACAATGGGGCAGGATTTTATTCCCGTGTATTTCTGTGTTTCTCTTGTTAATTCTCACCCCAAGGTATTTTTTTTCCATTGGTTTTTATTTTTATTATTTTTTTACATGTATTTTTATTGATTTTTTACAGAGAGGGAGGTAGTTAGAAACGTCAATGAGAGAGACATCCACCAGCTGCCTCCTGCACGCCCCCCACTGGGGATGTGCCTGCAACCAAGGTCCATGTCCTTGACCGGAATCGAACCCGGGACCTTTCAGTCCGCAGGCCGACGCTCTGTCCACCGAGCCAAACCAGTTTCAGCTTCTATTGGTTTTTTAAAAAAAATACATATACACGGAGGGGCCAGATGATGATGATCTCTGAACGCATAATACTCTGGCCACTCGGCGTAGATCCTATAGAATAAAAGGCTAATATGCAAATGGTCCCCTCGACCGGGAGTTCGGCCAGCAGGCAGGCCGGCCGACCGCCCATGTCCCCTCCCCCTGGCCAGGCTGGCCGGACCCCACTCATGCACGAATGCATGCACCGGGCCTCTAACACACACACACACACACACACACACACACACTCATTGGCCAGATTATTATGTGTTCAGAGATCATCATCATCTGGCCACTCCGTGTATATGCTCTTCCCCAGAATTGAACCCAGGAGGTCACGGGTTCGATTCCTGGTCAGGGCACATTCCCAGGTGGTGGGTTCCATCCCCAGTGGGGGGTGAGCAGGAGGCAACCCCCGTCTGACACCCGGAGCCCTGTCTGTCCCCCCGTCTGCCACCTGGAGCCCCGTCTGTCCCCCGGAGCCCCGTCTGTCCCCCATCTGTCCCCCCGTCTGTCCCCCCATCTGCCCCCCGTCTGTCCCCCCATCTGTCCCCCCGGAGCCCCATCTGCCCCCCGTCTGTCCCCCCGTCTGCCCCCTGTCTGTCCCCCCGGAGCCCCGTCTGTCCCCCGTCTGTCCCCCCGTCTGTCCCCTGTCTGTCCCCCCGTCTGCCCCCCGTCTGTCCCCCCATCTGTCCCCCCGGAGCCCCATCTGCCCCCCGTCTGTCCCCCCGTCTGCCCCCCGTCTGTCCCCCCGGAGCCCTGTCTGTCCCCCGTCTGTCCCCCCGTCTGTCCCCTGTCTGTCCCCCGTCTGTCCCCTCGTCTGCCCCCCGTCTGTCCCCCCGTCTGTCCCCCCGGAGCCCCGTCTGCCCCCTGTCTGTCCCCCGGTCTGTCCCCCCGGAGCCCCGTCTGCCCCCCGTCTGTCCCTCTGGAGCCCCGAGATGAGACAGGATCCGACCCAGCTGTGCTCAGCTGGAGGCAGAAGGAGAGGCCTGGCTGTGACCCCGGTTCTGGAGCCGATTACCCCCGGGGGCCCCTGGAGGGGAAGGAGGAGGGGCCTGGCCAGGCCCGCAGCTCTGCCCCCCCCAGGCCCCCAGCTCTGTCCCCCCCAGGCTCCCAGCTCTGTCCCCCCCAGGCCCCCAGCTCTGTCCCCCCCAGGCCCCCAGCTCTGCCCCCCCCAGGCCCCCAGCTCTGTCCCCCCCAGGCCCCCAGCTCTGCCCCCCCCAGGCCCCCAGCTCTGTCCCCCCCAGGCCCCCAGCTCTGCCCCCCCCAGGCCCCCAGCTCTGTCCCCCCCCCCACTGCCCGCAGGACCGGCTGGAGCAGGTGCCTGGGGAGGGGGCAACGGAGGGACGGCAGGCTAGGTGAGGAGGGCGGGGGGCGGGGAGAGGGGGCCTTATCTGCAAAGTGGGGGCCGGCCCCCAGCAGGAGCTGCTCTGTGGGATGGAGATTCCCCTGGTAACGGGGTGCGGGGTGTGTGTGTACATGGGTGCATGGGAACAGGTGCATACACATGAAGATTGCATGTGTACATGTACACACACATGTGATCATTGTTTGTGCAGGCATGGGCGCACACACACAGGTCTGTTCGTGTGGACATGGCCCTGAGCATATTTGTGCAGGTGAACATACATGTGCATGTGCACCCAGGATAACATGCATGTGAGCACTGCGTGGGAATTTGAGGGTTGCACGTGTGTACATGTGTGCACACTTGTGATAATTGCATATATGTGCATGCACATGTGCATATGATTATGTACGCATGTGTTTGTGTGCGCATGGCTTTGAGTGTGTGTGTGTGTGTGTGTGTGTGTGTGTGTGAGTGTGTATGTGTATTAGAGGCTCGGTGCATGAATTTGTGCATGGATGGGGTCCAGCCAGCCTGGCCCGGGGGAGGGGACATGGGCGATCAGCCGGCCTGCCTGCTGGTCGGACTCCTGGTTGAGGGGACAATTTGCACATGAGCTTGTTATTCTATAGGACAGACATGGAGTGGCCAGGTTGTCATGTGTTCAGAGATCATCATCATCTGGCCACTCAGTGTACATGGGCAGGTTTTTTTTTATTTTGTATGTGTGTGTGTGTGTGTGTGTGTGTTTAAATATTAGAGGCCCATGGCATGAATTCCTGCACCAGTGGGGTCCCTCAGCCCAGCCTGCAGGATCGGGCCGAAACCGGCTCTCCGACACCCTCTGAGGGGTCCCAGATTGTGAGAGGGCGC